GTTTGTGCAACGACAGAGCTTGAATTACTACAATGAAAATGTTTTGACTGTTTTATGGAAATGCATTTAAAAGAATTGATGAATAGCAAGAGAATTTCGCCTCTCCATCAGGACACCTTCCTCACTGCTGACAAAGCTGTCATTGACGCCACGACCTTCGATCCTGCCAAACCCATTAAGTTCATCACCCACGGCTTCATCGACACCGGCAATACTGAGTGGCTGAGGGTGAGTCTCAGCAGCAGTGGCCATGATTATTTTTCAAGGAACAAAATTGTGTTGATTTTCAACCGAGGACTTTGTCTAGGACGAGCCATTAGAATTTAAGAGTGGGATGCATATCTGTGAATACATTTTTTGAATTCTAAAATACGAATACGAAAGTTATGTTCGTTTCATGGAACTTGTGATATATCCGTTTTGATGTCAGAGCATGTGATATATGTCGTCATGTAAGCACAGTAATATGCTGAGTTAGGTTATGAAAGTGTTCTTGTGGTTTTCCAGAGAATGGCCAGGGCAATGATAACCCAGGGAGACTACAACGTGATTCGCGTGAACTGGGGAGCAGGCTCTCTGCCCATGTACTACTCCGCCACCGCCAACACCCGAGTGGTCGGCCTCGAGATCGCCTACCTCGTCAACTTCTTCATCGACAATTACGGAGTCGATCCGGCGAACGTGCACCTGATCGGCCACTCTCTGGGCTCCCACGTGTCCGGTTACGCGGGCGAGCGGATCAGCGGCCTCGGACGCATCACCGGCCTGGACCCCGCCGGACCCTACTTCACGGAGACGCCGAGCTTCATCCACCTGGACGCCACCGACGCCGTCTTCGTCGACAACATCCACACCGACGCCGACACCATCTACGTGCTGGGCTACGGCACGGAGCAGGAGATGGGCAACGTGGACTTCTATCCGAACTCCGGCCACGACCAGCCGGGCTGCGACCCCGTCTCCATCGGCATCGAAATCATTGACGACATCGGCGAGGGCGGCCGAGACCTCGCAGCCTGCAGCCACGACCGCTCCGTGGAACTCTTCGAGGATTCCCTGGGAGAGCCGTGTCCTTACCTGGCGCACGAGTGCATCGATTACGATTCCTTTGAACAGGTATGGACTGAAGATATATTCTTAAGTTCAACTCTTGGAAAGTTTCGCTCGTCTTTTTGTATTATCAAATTTTAGCAACTTCAGTAATGATGCAGCAAATCAGTAAATAAAACGAAGTGAACCTTGTTTGCTTCCTGGAAAAAATTGCAAAGCAGGTCTCTGCCGTTGCTAAACCTCAAACTATAACGTGTTACCTTCATTCTTTGAAAGTCCTTCGCCTCCTCAGGGTCGATGTGCTAGTTGCAACGAAGACAACTCCGCGTGCGCGTTCATGGGCATCCACGCCGACCAGTACACGGCCAAGACCCGAGAGAATGTGAGGATGTATTTTGACACTGATTCGAAAGCTCCATACTGCTGTAAGTATTTTTCTACTCTACTAAAGGGGTTTATCAAGTAACTAAATTTCTACGAATCTTTACTAATAGTACTAGTGCATTATTACGTTCATCTAAATTCAATGGTCATGAATAATAATATATGTACTCGGCACTATCAACACAGGCAAATGTCAAAGCCCATGATTTCCCCTTTGCAAAAGTCGTAATTCGCCCCAACGACCCGTCTCTTCCCCCAGACTACCACTACCAGATAGTGATTGACACGGCGCACCCGAAGAACGCCGAGGACTGGGTCCAGGGCCACCTCACCCTGTGGCTTTACGGCGACAACGGCAACGTCATCGAGAAGGTCCAGATCACCAGGTAAGTTCGAGCCGCATGAGTCGCAGCCCCTTTAAACCCTAATCTTAATCGCAGCCCCTTTAAACCCTAGTCTTAATCGCAGCCCCTTTAAACCCTAATCTTAATTGCAGCCCCTTTAAACCCTAATCTTAATCGCAGCCCCTTTAAACCCTAATCTTAATCGCAGCCCCTTTAAACCCTAATCTTAATTAAACCCTAATCTTAATCGCAGCCCCTTTAAACCCTAATCTTAATCGCAGCCCCTTTAAAACCTAATCTTAATCGCAGCCCCTTTAAACCCTAATCTTAATCGCAGCCTCCTCCTCCCTCCTCTCCTTCCCCTCCAACCTCTCCTACCCCTCCTCCTCCTTCCTCTCCCCCTCGTCCTTCCCCTTCTCCTCCTAGCTTCCTCATTTTCCTCTTCTCATTAAGGCATATCCGGCTGCTTCCTTCTCCTCCCCCTCCTCCCCCCTAATCTTAATCGCAGCCCCTTTAAACCCTAATCTTAATCGCAGCCCCTTTAAACCCAAATCTTAATCGCAGCCCCTTTAAACCCTAATCCTAATCGCAGCCCCTTTAAACCCTAATCTTAATCACAGCCCCTTTAAACCCTAATCTTAATCGCAGCCCCTTTAAACCCTAATCTTAATCGCAGCCCCTTTAAACCCAAATCTTAATCCTTCATCAAATACTTGAATGTA